TTTCTATGGCTATTTTACCCTGTAGTTCTAGGACCTCAGGGCAGTCTTTATGATTGAAAGATACTGTCCAGGCTCTTTTTTTCATTGTGATTTTCAGGTAGACCAATAATTTTTAAATTATCTTTCCTGGATTGATTTTCTAGGTCAGGTGTTTTACCAGTGAGATATTTCACATTTTCATTTTTTTTTCATTTTTTTTTGTTTCTGTTTGACTGATTCTTGCTCTCTCATAGAGTCATTAGCTTCTGTTTGCCTTATTCTAATTTTTAACAAATTCTTTTCTTCTATTAGATTTTGTACCTCCTTCCCCATTTGGCCAATTGTATTTTTAAGGGATTTGTTTTCTTCAGTGTACTTATATAAATTTACATTTCAAAGTAATCTATATAATGAATACTACACATTGTTTTTAATGCTGCCCAGCTTCACTTTGCTTCCTTGTAGGTTTTCTTTTTTTCTCTGTCTTAAACTTTTTACTTAATTTTCCCCTCCCCATCACCCTAATGAAATCTGCAATTAAGCAGGGATACACACACACACACATGCATACACACATATACACATATACATTGATATATAAATGAACACACACATATATACACATATACACTTATACACATATATGTAAGATTATATTTTGCTCATTTATACTTGCAATTTCTTTCTGTGAAGGTGGATAGTATCTTCCTTCATAAGTCCAAGTCTTTCCAAGTTTTTTTTTTTATAAACTGACCTGCTCATCATTTTCTACAACACAGTAATATTCCAACTCAATCACATCCTTTCTGAGAGATTGTCTATGAAAATCCCCTCCCTACACATTTTCTACATTCCCTGTATTCTTGGCTGCATAAATTTTATTTATAAAAGAAAAAAAATTAATTTAAAGTCATTAAAATTATCAAATTTACCCTTCAACCGTGGTCTCACCTTATATTTTTCATTTCTGGTACTTTTGAATCTACTTATTTTGCATCTTCTCCCCATTTTCTTGAAGTTCCTGACTTTGTATTCTTCCATGTGAAACTGGCTATTATTTTTTCTAACTCAGTAAGATTGTTTTCAGTGATTTATTAAATGGCATTGAATAGATAGGTAAAATTGTCAATTTTTCATTATATTGACTTTACCTACTTATGAACAAAAATAATACTTTAATCATTTAGATCTGGCTTTATTGGTATAAAAAGTGTTTTATATTTATGTTTATATATTTCCTATGTCTGTTTTGGCAGATATACTTTCAAGTAATTTATACTGTCTAGTTATTTTAAATGGTAAAAAAACATATTGAATAATATTGCAGACACATAGTGTAATTTGCCTATTTTTCTCTTTTGATTAAATCTATTTTAGCTTTAACTTTGTCTGAGATCATGATTACTACTCTTGCTTTTTTACATAATAAATTCTACTCCTGACCTTTATTTTGTCTTTGTATTTCTCATTTTTACAGCATTTCCTGAAAGCAACATATTGTTGAATTGATCTTTTAATCTGCTATCAGTTTCCATTTTTTTGGGTAAATTAATCCCATTCACATTTTAAGCTATAATTATTTGTGCTGTATTTTCCTCCTTTATGTTTTCCTTACCGTCCTTCTTATCCTTTTACTATCCCTCCTCACTCTTCTGTTTTGCTTCTACCCACTACTTTGTCCTCCTATTCCTTAACCAACCCACCACTTTAAGGGTCCCTCCCTTATCATCCCTCCCACCCTATCCCCTTGCCTTCTTATTTCTTCCTTAATTTAGAAGAATTTTATAACTCTCTCTCTCTCTCTACATATATATATATATACATACATATATATATACACATACCTATATATATGTGTATAGATAGATAGATAGATATAGATATAGGTGTGTGTGTGCATATATATATATATATATATATAGGCGTGTGTGTCTGTGTGTGTATCTGTATATATATATGTGTGTGTGTGTATATGTATATATATATAAAAGTATATGTGCATATATATAGACATGCATACACCCATATATACACACACACACACATATATATGTGTGTACACATATATATTTCCCTCTTTAACCTATTCCTGATGAGACTATGGTTTCAGCCTACCCACCCTTTCCCCTACTAGCTTCTTCTGTATCCATTTTTCCTTTAATGCTTTGTTTATATAGGATAATCACTGTTTTTTTATCTCTCCATACATTGTTTTTTTTAAGAATAACCCTATCATGCTCAGCTCAGCCCAAGCCTTTCTTTCAAAACTGCCCAAATAATGATGACAATCATGAGTATTGATAATATGTTCACATGTAAGAAGTAAACTATTTGACCTCATTAAGTCCCTTAGGTCTTTAATGCTTACCTTATATATCTCCTGGAATATCTATGTCAAATTTTCCTTTAAGTTCTGCTGTTTTTGTCACAAATACCTGAAAGCCTTTCAGTTTGTTAAATGTCCATTTTTTTTTTCTTTCAGGTTTATACTGAAATTTGCTAGGTAAGTTACCATTAGTTGTAAGCCTAGATCTTTTGCTCTATAAAATATAATATTCCAAGACTGACAGTCCTTCAATGTAGTAGCTGCTAGGTCTTGTGTAATCCTTATTGTAGCTTCATGATATTTTAAGTGTTTTATTTTTTAATATGTTTAATTGTTTATAAATTGCTTAATTTTCTTGTTGCTTCCAGTATTTTCTCCTCATATTGGGAGTTTTGAAACTTGGCTATCGTATTCCTATAAGTTTTCCTGCAGGGATATTTTTTCAAGTGATAATGAGTAGATTTTTTTTTCTATTTCTGCTTTGCCTTCTTTTTCTAGAACTTCAGGGAAATTTTCCTTGATAATTTCTTGTAATATTTTATCAAAATTATTTTTAATCATCATTTCCAGGTAGTTCAACTATTCTTATACTATTTCTAGTTGATCTGTTCTCCATATCTTTTTTTCTGATGAGGTATTTCACATTCTCTCCTTTTTTCATTCTTCTGAGTTCATTTTATTATTTCTTAGTGTTTTAGAATGTCATTAGCTTTCCTTGTCCAATTTTAATTTTCTAGAAATAAAGTCTTCCTTAAGTTTTTTAATTCTTTACTTCAAGTTTTTAGTTCATTTTATTTTCATAATTTATCCTTATGACACTCCTGGCATGTTGATTCTATTATTAATCTAATTTTATCATTAAAAAGATAGGCAAAAAGAGGTTGTTACTTGACGAAAGTCAAAGAGCTAATGTGTGAGGGTAGATCAGAAATTAGTTCTTCCTAACTTCAGATACAATGATCTATCCATTACAGCACCTTGCTCCAACTGAAAGATATTATAATTCTCTGAAGGCAATCCAATCTGTTCACCTCTCCCTAGTTATTTTGGGTGTCCAATTCTAAGTCTATTAGTACCCAAAACGAAAACTCTCCACCTTGCCAATTCAACTTTATTGTTATATTTTGGGCACTAGATGTTCCTCATCTATGGGAATGGTTAAAATAAAGAGATTGGCTATAGATCACTTCCACAAGTCTGTGCACTGTCCTTGGGCTTTATGTGACCATGATATATAACCCACAAATAGAAGCCTGGATTATGAGAGATAGTTAAGAAATGCTTCATAGAATTAGATCAACCACTGAGCAGTGTAACATTTCTGTGTGGGCAATTTCCATGATTTGATTATGTGAAATTCATTAAATTTCCCCATTGCTCCAAGGATATGGCCTCATGGGCACAGAGAAAACCATAAAGTCTGATGCTCACAGCTGGTAGTACAGATAACAAGAAGAAACCACAAAAGATTCTACCTTACAGATAAGAAGGTAACATTATTCTTTGTTTGTGAACTTATCAGTGCAGTGTGCATCAAAAAATGTAGAGCTTAAGTAACTCAGATTAAAAAGCTGATCACCATGCCTATTGTGGAAATAAGTGAAACAATTTAGGGGGCATGGGATGGATTTCCTCAAATTGAAATGTCATAAAATCATTCCTGTAAGCCATTAGATGACAATTCCAAGCTATGAAAATTGTCATAGATTTTTTTTTAAATAAGAGAAATGAAAATACTTTTATGATGGAACACTTATAGCTAATCACATATGGGATCCCAGTGATCTTTGAGATCAATGTTATGCAACTGATCATCATCTGAAAGACAAGCATTTGAAGAAAAAGTCTTTTCATATCTCTTGGAATAAAATACATTAAAAACTTCAAAATTGTTAGTCTAGTTCATCTTCATAATCCAGGTGGGAAAATATTTTCTCTCTGATAAGGCAAAGGGAAAGGGGACTAAAGGGAGTGGGTAGATATGTGGAGTCTCCCTGGGTATCATATAGTTAATGACTATGTGAGAAAGAGGCTACGATATATACTGGACCTTTACATTTGAAGATGTAGGGCACTCTGAAAAAGGAAATTGAATCTCTTGGCATGGGCTATCACTTTGCAGCCCATATACATAGACAATTGTCCAACAACAAGGAGGTTACATGACTAGCAAAAGGTTACTTGGAAATATGTTGGATATGCTTTTTCTTTTTCTTTTTTTTTTAACACATTCCTTAGCTTCAAATCCAACTTCATACCAACTTCACAATTCCTCCATAAGGTAATTTTATATGTTCTATCCCACATTAGTATCCCATTATAATCTTTGACTCTTTAATTAACTAAAACATTTTAAAATGTATTCATAATGTTATCATATATCACCACTGTAGAATATGTAGTTTCATATTCACTATCTATTTAGTAAAATTAAAAAAATATTCATTTTTCTTTCTTGGAGACAGAATGTTGATATGATATGATATGTAATGGTAGGAGATGATATGATTTCAATTTGAGTGAATTCACCACATGGAAACTAAATTAATAAAATTACAGTGAAATGGTATGGGAATATCCCTGCTCATCTTCTCTAAGACATTGCTACCCTCTAATTGCCTAATTATGTATTCAAACATTCCTCAGAGAAGGATTCTTCTGCTTCTTCTCAGATTATGTTCTTTGTATGGAAGAAATGATGAAGCTGAGCAAAATCTCAGGGAACCAGATGACGGAATTCATTCTCATGGGCATCACAAAACATCCTGGGCTGCAGGGCCCTCTCTTTGTTGTGTTTTTACTCAAATATATGGCCATATCTCTTGGAAATCTGGGTATAATCATCCTAACTAGTGTTGATACCAACCTCCACACTCCAATGTACTTTTTCCTCAATCATCTGGCATTTGTTGATCTAGGCTATTCCACAGTTGTTGGGCCAAAAACGCTAGTTGGTTTCATCATGGAGAAAAACACAATTACCTATATTGGATGTGCCATAGAGCTAGTTTTCTTTGTGATTTTTATCACCAGTGAACTTTTTATCCTGTCAGCCATGGCCTATGACTGCTATGTGGCTATCTGCAAGCCCCTCCGTTATATGGTCATTGTCTCAGACAGGACATGTTGGATTTTGGTGACTATCTCATACTTCTATAGCATCCTGGTATCCCTGTTGGTTACAATAAAGATTTTTAAACCATCTTTCTGTAAATTAAATGTAATAAGACATTTCTACTGTGATGGTCTTCCTCTGTTTTCCATTATATGCTCAGAAAAAACTGACATCGAACTAATCATTATGATCTTGGCCACATTTAATTTGGTTTCTTCCCTCTTAATTATCCTCATCTCCTTCATGCTCATTCTTGTGGCCACCTTCAGGATGAACTCTGCTGAGGGCAGGCACAAAGCCTTTTCCACCTGTGGTTCTCACATCACTGGTATGGTTATATTCTGTGGGACACTTCTCTTCATGTACCTGCAGCCCCAGTCTAGCCACTACTTTGACATAGCCAAGATTACCTCTTTCTTCTACACCCTGGTCATCCCCATGCTCAATCCTTTGATCCACCGCTTGAGGAACAAAGAGATGAAAAATGCCTCAAAAAGTCTCTTTAAAATAATATATAAGCATCCTCTTTAATGCCCAATATATAGTGCATTTCCGTTGTATTAGTGGAGACAAGTAAATTTGGTTTAGACAAATAAAATTTGTCTTTGCTAACTTCTCCCTGATTCTTCTCTCACCCTTTAGAGAAAAAAATATATCTTAATATGCAATCAGAGAATGATTTTTAATTGTTTGTTAAGTTCTTATTTTGAGGTCAACTACCAATAAATACTGATTTAATGAACCATTTAACTGAAGAGATCTATTAGATTATTCAGCACAAAATACATCCATAAAACAACCTATTCCATTATATTCTACAATGGTAAACAGCCTAATTTAGAAGTTTTCTTGCCTGGGAAAATCAATTATCAAGCATTTGTAAAATGCTCACATCAAGTAGTATTTTAAGCATTGGATTTAAACAGAAAATTTTTGAAAAATAGTTCTTGCCATCAATGAACTTGCATTTTATTAAGAAAAACAACATTTGCATGAGACCCACACTATCTGCCACAGCAGCTAATCTGTTTTCAAATATCTCTTATTGCTAAGGACTTTATCCTTATTATGTCCTCAGTTTCCTCCTCCCTGACTTTCAGCCATTTCTCATAATCTTCTCTGGAAAGCAGGACAAATTAATTCACTAATCTTTATAATGTTCATTCAAATTCTTGAAAAACATTTTCTTCTCTTCCCCACTTTCAGTCCCAGATCTTTCATTCTTGTGATAATGAGCATCATGCCAGGAAACTGAATCACTTCCATTTGAATTGCCTTAGGAAGATTCTGAAGATCACTTAGCATGATAAGATACCAGACACTGAGGACCTTTCTTGAATTGAAATGCCAAGCATCGAAACTTTACAGTAGAGAGTGAAATTCCAATGGCATGGTCACATTGTTTGAAAGCCAAATATATGCTTGCCTAAAAGACTATTTAATGGAGAACTCACACAATGCAAGTGCTCACATGGTAGTCAGAAAAAGTGATACAAGGACACTCTTCAGATTTCTCTTAAGAGCTTTGGAAATCATTTCATGAAATGGGAGACACTGGCACAGGACACCCAGCATAGCGTCCTCTAATCAGAGAAGATGTTGTGCTCTCTGAGCAAAGCAGAATTGAAGTTCAAAAGAAACATAAGCTGCACAAATTTAGAGAATCCATCCCAAATGTTCACATGGACTATTTTTGCCTTCCCTGTGGAACAGTATTCTGAGCTAGTATTGGTGTGATCAGCCACAGTCAGAAACACTACACCTTGACTCTAACATAGTGATGTCATTTTGGTCCTCTTTGAGAACAAAGGACAACAACCCACCAGCAGATGTAAGTTTCTAAAACTTAAAATGATTTAAGACTTTTGGACCCTTCTCTGTAGCTACATGACCTGGGTTCAAGGAATATACATGTTTCTTTTGACATGATGTTTTGTCCTCTTTGACTCATACACATCAAATGTGTAGTTTGATTACATAAATTTACTTTGTGAGTCATGCATCTTCTTCCACACTACTATATATTAGAACTAATTATTTGGTTGCCTGGTGGAGAAATGCATAGGAGATTGGACCTGGAGTCAGAGAAACTCCTCTTCCTGAGTTTTAATCTAGTCTCAGACACATATTGATGCATGTGACCTTAGGCAAATCCCTTAACTCAGTTTCCTGAGCAGTAAAGTGATCTGGTGGAGGAAATGGCCAATCCAGGATATTTACCAAGAGAATCCCATAATATGGAATTAACTTTAATTTATGTAATATCTCATTTGATTCTCAAAATATCCCCCTAGGAAGTGTACCTGAGGCAGACTAAAAATAAGATACATGACAAGATTCAGACTGTATCTTTGCGTCTGAGAAAATTTTTGAAATCAGCACTTTGTGACTCCTGACCCAGAAATATATCCACTGAACCAATTAGCTACCTGATAAAAAAAAATTATTTTGATCTTCACAATAATGCTATTATTGCCATTATCTTACTAGAAGAAAACACAGACATAAAGATGTTAATTTACTTGCCAAAAGTCAGAGCTAGTGTATGAAGGTGAATTAGAAACCAGTTCTTCCAAACTGCACACATAATGTTCTAACCACTACATGACCTAGATACTTCTTTTATTTTTTTAATTCTCTAAAGGCAATGCAGCCTGCTCACCTCCCCGTAGTTATTTTTGGTGTGCATCACTAAGTCACTTTGTACCCATCAGTCCTAAAGACACTTCCAAAAAAGAAAATTCTCTTTGTTATCCATCCAACTTTATGTTATATATTGGGTACTAGATGTTCTTCCTCTAATTGTCCTTCAATGTATTGATGGTTAAACTAACCTGCTGTGTTTGGGTATAGACTGCTTTCATAAGAATGTGCAATATCTTTGAGCTTAATGCAACCAGGATATGCCACCAAAAAACATAAGCCTGGAACAGGGTAGTTATTTAATAAATGCTTCCTGAAATTAAGTAAACCAGTAAACATTGTCACTTATTACTGACTGGGCAATTGCCATGCTATGATCATATGAAATTCATTAAACTTCCCCAGTCCTTCAGGGATATGGATCCATGGGGACTGAGAAAACCATAAAGTCTTACTCTAGGTGCTGATATTATGAACAAGCAGCAGATGTTTTACCCTTCTAGATATGCAGGTAGCATTAATCTTTGTGATCTTCTCATTGTAGTAAGTATCAAAAATATGGAGTCAGCAGCTGAGTTTAAAAAACCATTCACTATGGTCAGTGTGGAGATGAGTGGGAAAATTTCAGGGCCATGTGGTAAATTCACTCCAATTGTAATGGCATAAAACGATCATAGGAAAACCATCAGATGAAAATTGCTAGCCGTGACAATCGTGAAAGAAGCTTTCTGCAATCAGGGATATCAAATAATTTTTGTCAAGGGACATTGATCACTAATAATAAGTGGGATTGCAGTGATCTTTGAGATCAATGATATGCAACTAGACACCATCTGAAGAATAACCGTGTTTCTTTTTTAATAAAGTCCCTTCCAGTCTCTGGCTGTGAAAAACATTAAAACACACACACACACAAATTTATGCCTAGCTCATCTCCATAATCTAGATAGAAAAATATTTCTCTCTGATAAGGCAATGGGAAAGGAGACTACAGAGAGTGAGTAGATATAAGAGATCTCCCTGGATGTCATACAAATAATAACTGCAAGAGGGAGAGACTGCAATAGAGCCTGGACCTTTACCTTCATTTGATTAGGATCATGCTAAGAAGGAAATTCCATCTCTTGTCATGGGCCACCATGCGAGTGATAGTCTTAGACAATGGTCCAAAATTTGGGAGGTTACATAACCAGCACAATGTTATTTGAAAAAGTGGTGGATATGTTGTTGTTGTTTTTTTAACCCATCTCTTTTAGCATCAAAAGCAACTTCATTCCTGTTTCACGACAACTGTTTTTTTCTTCTTGTAAGGTGTTCTTATATGATCTATTTTCCTTCAGGATTCCATAATAATTCTTTAACCCATAGATTAATTAAAACATTTTAACCTTCCTCATGATATTATCTTGTTCCTTCACTTGGAGATAGTTTAATAATCTACTCTTTATTTTGTAAATAAAACCACATTCACTTTCCTCTTGGTGAAAGGATGTTGATATGATATGAGATGAAATCATATGTAATGATTGCACTTAAATTTAGAAAACTAAATTAAAATCACATGGGAAAGGTCCTGATTGTCTTATCTAAAACATTTATACAAAAAAACTGCCTAATACTAGATGCAAATCACACACTTATTTCTTTTATTCTCAGGTAATGGTCCTGGGATGACAGAAATGATCGATCTGAATGAAACCACAGGGTGCCAGGTGACTGAGTTCATTCTCATGGGCATCACAAATTATCCTGAGCTTCAGGGCCCCCTCTTTGTAGTGTTTTTCCTCAACTACATGGTCACAGTTGTGGGAAACCTGGGCCTGATTATCCTAACAAGTGTGGATGCCCACATCAACACCCCTATGTACTTTTTTCTCAGGCATCTGGCATTTGTTGATCTTGGCTATTCCACAGCTATTGGGCCAAAAATGCTGGTTAGTTTCATAGAAGAGAAAAATATTATTTCCTATAATGGATGTATGATGCAGCTATTTTTCTTTGGGGTATTTGTTGCCAGTGAACTTTTTATCCTGTCAGTCATGGCCTATGACCGCTATGTAGCTATCTGTAAGCCCCTCCTCTACATGGTCATCATGTCAGACAGGGTATGCTGGATCTTGGTGGTCATCTCATACCTTTATGGCATCATGGTATGTCTAGTGGTCATAACTGAGACTTTTACATCATCTTTCTGTGAATCAAATATAATAAAACATTTCTACTGTGACAGTCTCCCCCTACTGTCCATTGCATGCTCAGACACAAGTGAGGCTGAACTAATAATTATGACTTTTGCTGCATTTAGTTTGGTTTCTTCCCTCTTGATTGTCCTTTTTTCCTACATGCTCATTCTTGTGGCCATCCTCAGGATGAACTCTGCTGAGGGCAGGTACAAAGCCTTCTCCACCTGTGGCTCTCATCTCACGGGAGTGGTTATATTCTATGGGACACTTCTCTTCATGTACCTGCAGCCCCAATCTAGCCATTCCTTTGACACAGACAAGATGGCCTCCGTCTTTTATACTCTCATCATCCCCATGCTCAACCCTTTGATCTACAGTTTGAGGAACAAAGAGGTGAAAGGCGCCTTAAGGAGACTCTTTAAAAAATCATGTAAACTTTTTCTTTAAGGCCCAATGTGATGTAGGATTCCATTGCTTTATTGGAAATTAATATGTGCTAGATTTATATCAACTTCTACATGATTCTTCTCTTGTCTTTTAGAGAGAAAAAACATTTATCCAAATATTCTGTCCAAGAATGATTTCTATTTTTTTAGCGGTCAACCTCCAATAGATACTTCTATAGTGGACCATTTAAGTAATGGAACTTATTAAAGATTAATACAAAATATCTCTATAAAACAATGTATTTCATTATATACTATAATAGTAAACAGCCTAATTTTGTTTTACATTTCTTTTACTGGGAAAATCAATTAATCAGCATTTAGAAAATGCTGGCTTCAGGTACAATTCTACACATTGAACCTACACAGATAAAGACATTAAAAAATAGTTCTTGCTATCAGTGAACTTGGATTTTATTGAGGGAACAATCCATACATAAGAGTCACACTATCCCCCAGAGCAGCCGACCTCCTTTTGAATAATATCTCTTATTGTTAAGAAGTTTATCCTTATCACAACCTCAATTTCCCCTCTATGTCTTCCAGCCATAGCTCCTTGTCTTTTCCGTGAAGTGGAACAAGCTGATTCCCTCTTCTTTATCATAATTGTTCAGGTTCTTGAAGAAAACTTCCATCTCTTCCCTCAGCTTCAGTCCCAGATTTTGTTTTTATTTTTGTGCTAGGATGGAAAGAATACTGAGGTATACAAAGGATCCCAAAAATCTTTAAATTAAATTTTCAAAAGCTTAAAATATCCAGACTTATGGAATATTCTATAAAGTTAGAGGACCTGAGTGCAAAGAAATGTTCTATTCCTTGTGACCTATGATATTCTGGGCAATAAGTTTAACTTCTCTGACTCCTACTCATTTATAAAATTTGGGAATGTTTTTCTTTTGGTGAAGCAATCGCGGTTAAGTGACTTGCCCAGGGTCACATGGCTAGTAAGTGTCGTGTGTCTGAGGTCAGATTTGAACTCAGATCCTCTTGACTCCAAGCCTGGAGTGTTATCCACTGGACCAACTAGCTGCCCCCAAAATTTGGGAATTTGATAACACAAATTTTTAAGCACTATTTCAGTTAAAATTCTATGATGCCACGAACTTATTCTTTGTGCTAACAGCAGGGAGTCTTCAAACAATACAACCATGTCATGCTCTTTTTTAAAATATTAACTTAAATACAAAACAAGAAAAAAATAAAAAAGAACATTGCCATGTACAGAGTAGAAAGTAAGACATGATTCAGTACAAAATCACAAATTCTCATTTCAAAGAATCCCTTATAATATATATTACACATTGTTTTCAAAGCTACCCATATTTCTTTGCTTCTTTTTATGTTTTCTTTTTTTCTCTATTGCACACTTTTTACTTTATTATTTCCCTCCTTCCCATCATATCCCCTATGCTAAAGAAGGCTACAATTAAATGTAGATACACACAGATATCTATAAACATATACTCTCATGCACATATGTAAGACCATAGTCTGCAGATTTCCACTAGTCATCTCTTTCTTCTAAGGTGGATTGCATAAGTCCAAGTCTTTCCATGTTTTTCCCAATCAACCAGCCCATCATTTCCTACACCACAGCATCATTTCAACCCAATCACATCCTATCCGAGAGACTATAAAAGTTTTCCCCCATTTTTTTACATTCCTTATATTATTAGCTAAATTTTCTTTATACCAGAAAATTTTAATTTAAAATAATACAAATTATCCATTTTACTCTTCAATTGTGATCTCACCTCATAATTTAAAGTTTGATACTGCTGAATCTGTTTCCTTGACATCCCTTTTCTCTGTTTTATTTGAAATGACTGACCTTTTGTTTTTCCAAATGAACTTTGTTATTATTTTTTTCTAAACTTTTTTTTAGTCATTCAATTGGGATGGTATTGAACAAGTAGATTAATTAGTTAAAATTGTCATTTTTATTATGTTGTTCTTTACCTACTTGTGAGCAATAAATATCACTTCAATTATTTACATCTGACTTTATTTGGACAAAAAGTATTGTATGTTTATGTTCATATAGTTCTTGTATCTATTTTGGGAATATCTCAGATATTTTATGCTTCCTAGTTGTTTAAATGATCTAAATCAATATTGACTAATATTGTTGGCACATAGTGTAATTTCTCTATTTGCTCTTTTGATTGTCTATTGTAACTTTAACTTTCTCTGTGATCATAACTTCTATTCCTGCTTTTTTTACATAATAAATTCTTCTCCTGCCCTTTATTTTATCTTTGTGCATTTTTCTCATTTTTATGTTTCCTCAAAGCAATATGTTGTTGAATTCAAAATTTTAATCCACTATCCATTTTTGTTTTTTGTGTAAATTCACCCCATTTTCATTCTAAGCTATAATTACTCATTGTTCACTTTTCACCTTCCTATTTTTCCTCACTATCCTTCTGACCCTATTTACTCTGTCTCTTCTCACTCCTCTCCTTTACTTTTACCAGCTACCTTGCCCTCTTATTTCTTAACCTACCCACCTCTCCAAAAGTCCCTCCTTTATACTCTCCCTCTGCCTTATCCCCTTGCCCCCTTATTTCTTTCTGAACTTGAAAGACCTTTATTCCCTTCTAGATGTATATGTCATTCCCTCTTTAACCCTTTCTGGATGAGAGTACATTTCCAACCCTACCTGCCTTCCCCCTACTAGCTTCTTCTGTTTCCATTTTTCCTTTTATGCCTCATTTGTATGACATTATTACTCCTTTTTATCTCTTTCTGCACAGTGTTTTTAGAATCACTCTTACATAAACACCTTAGCCCAAGCCTTTCTTTCAAACTATGCAAATAGTGATGCCAGTCATAAAAGTACTAATAACATTTTTGCACATAAGAAATAAATGTTTTGACCTTATTGAGTCCCTTATAATAGGTCTTTAATGTACACCTTATTTTTCTCCTGTATCTTATATACAAAATATTCCTTTAATTTCTGATTTTTTTTGTCGTAAATACTTGAAAGTCTTTCAGTTCATTAAATGTCCTTTTTTATTTGTGATTATACTTACTTGGTAAGTTACCCTTCATTATAATTTCAGGTTTTTTTTTTTTTATTCTACCACATACGGTATTCCAAGACCTATGGTTCTTCAATGTAGTATCTGATATGTCTTATATAATCACTATAGTACTTCCATGGTATTTAAATTGACTTTTTTTTTCTTTTTGCTTTCAATATTTTCTTCTTAAACTGGGAGTTTTGAAACTTGGCAATGGTATTCCAGTAAGTTTTCCTCTTGAGATCTCTTTCAGGTGATGTGTCATGTTCTTTAATCTCTCCAATATTATTGTTTCTTCTCCTTGTTCACTTTGAAGTTTATTAAAGTCCATCCTGAACACTGTTATCCACAATTGAACACAATTGTCTAAATGTCTGGTCAAGGCAGAATGCAACCTCAATGTCATATCTTATACCAGGATGCCATATATAATAACCTAGAGTCATACTGCAGTAGGAACTCCATATTTTCTTCAAAAAGATGACATATATATACATATATATATATTTGATAGATAGACATAGATATATAGATATATAGATGATCTATAGGTAGATAGATAGATAGATATAGATACACATATATGTTTATATATATATATGCCTTTTTCATATTGTTCAATTGTGAAGCTTTTATTTAAACCAAATCAAATGCAAGACTTCACATTTCCCATTTGAATAATTTTATATTTTCAATTTCATCTTTATGCATATCAGGTTTGAGAAGTGCTTGACTTGTATGGGGAAAGGGTCCTACAAGGCAGGACTTCTCAGGGGGTTTTACTGCTTTATTAAGTAAGAAGGCACTTGGTTGCTATACCTAAGTGTCTTGAATTATCTCCTGCATCTTCTTCCAAACTCCACCTCAGAAGAAGACATGTAGCACTACATTAGTCAGGGTGACGATGTCTTCTAGTTTTATTTCATGAAAAAGGATTTGAGGAAAAATTTTGAACTGGTGATCTGAGGAGGGAATTAGAAATACTGGTCTGCATTGTAGAAAGTCACGATAAGGGAAAGCACTAGTAAAGTATCCCGTGATTTGGGTGTGAAATGTGTTAAAATATGTGGCTTTTTCTAAGTAGTGTGCTTTTCTTTGGGATCAGTGCTACACAGAAATCTAGCAACAGAAGATGTCTCTTGGTCTGATAAGAAAACAAAATTATTCATTACTAAGAGTTCTATTACTACAATATTTGAAAACATAGACTTTCAATGTTAATATCGATGATTCTCCAGGATTTTTTGTACTGTCTGTTAACTTTTTTTCCCCCAAGAACAACCAATTTTCACCTGCCCATAAGTCCTGGGAGTCAAAATAGCTTCAGAGGATACCCTTTTACAATGGTATCCTTAAAATGGGAAAGTGGTCTTGATGGGGGGGGGGTGTATCGTTTTGCTTTGTCTTAATTCTTTTAAGTTTCCACTTAAACATATTATTTCAGAGTAGTGATTAAAAATATATAGGTGGTTTCATTAAAAACATTTTAAGACAGGTCTCAGAAGATAAAAGGATTAATCATGTGCTGAACTCCTCTAGTCTATTAATATTGGGCACAAAGTAGGAACCAAGTCTTTCTGATTATAAATTCAACATTCTGGATTTTACTTCTTACATTAGGCTGCCTCTCCCCACCAGGGTTATCTAATTGCTTGCTGTAATTTTTATCATTATCATAACAACCATAATGATTTATCATCATTAATCTTCTTCTTTTTCTCTCACTCTTGTTTTGATTTTTCATCATCATCATCAAATACATATTTCCCTAACAATTACATTTATGTTCATCCACTGGATCAGGCGCTGTGGTACATTCACAGAAATATCAAGGTCAATGTTGTACCATATTTAAGGTATTCATGAAAATATACAGGAAAGTAATAGTGAAAATGAATGGCAAGTGAATATGCTGCTGGGAAACATTAGTATCTAGAATCAAAGAGAAACCAGAAGTATACAAATATTTGAA